TCATCAATATGTGTGTCTCTATTAAATCAGACAGAGTATGCCAGCTTCAAAGTTGTGTTTTCAGATGGGATTTAAAAGTGGAACGTGGGCAGAAAGGCTGAAGGCTCTAGAACCCATGGTAGTCAAGCAGGCAGATGGTGATGTGAGTTAGATTGTAGACGAGGATCTAAGAGTACGGGAGGGTGTGTAGATATGAAGGAGTTCAGACAGGTAGGAAGGGGCTTGTCCTGCGTGATCCGCAGGAAATGATGAGCACAAAACACTTTACTTCCTGCACTCAGGTGAATTTTTATGCACCAATTTATGGTATTTTTGGTGTGTATTTATTTAAAGGTGAACACAAAATTCAGGCAGCACATGACAATTACTGCAGTAAGTCATTCAAATATGTATTCACTTAAAGATCAGCTTCAGTACTCAGGTAGGCATGATTTACTTCTCCATCATCCTTTGTGTATTTTATTTGGGAACGTAACCTCTTCAAATGTTCACCTCATAACACGTTAATTCATTTTAATACACTTTAACAAACCCATTCGTATTCTTTCACATACACCTGATTCTCCTTAATAAATCTCAACCATTGTGACGCTGAGCGCACGCGTACGAGCCTCATTTCCACTCCCACAGTTGGCTATAAATGGATGTAGAAACGCCCTTAAACATCCGTTTGCATATCAATACTTGTGCCCCTCCACCATTCATTAGACCTGTCAATGAGAGATCCAGTTGGGAAAGTGAAATTTCACTGACTGTGTCGCATCGACGAGATTCTCCGACGGTGACACAGCAGCTGTCGTTACGTACAGCTGTTGATTTCTGTACCGTACCGTGTTACGTTTGTGCGAACCATCATCACAATGAAATCGTCAGATAACATTAAACCATCACTAACAGGGATATGAATCACTCATTAATAATATAACATTTACTGTGTAAAGTGTGCAAAACTAAAAACACAATCAGTGAAATTGACAAACAACCTAAAAACAATGTGATCCATCTCTCAACTTATATTTATTTCCTCCTCATCGTTCCACCAGAATCTTTCTTAGCTGAAAGTGTGCCTGGTCTGATAAATGTGTGAGATGTGAACATTCTCATTGCACATATCTGTGTTCTCTAAGAAGACAAGAATAAAGTTATAATATTTCCAGGAAAAAGTCGTAGTATTATGACTCCCCCCCACACACAAATATTACAGCTGTATTCTCAAGAATAAAAGTCTCCAAATTAAAGTCCTCTGTTAAACACTTTCATGTTTTTTTTTTTTTGGAGGGAACAAATGCATGTGTTCTAAATAATGAGAGGGACACTCCACTGCAAAACCTATGCTTATGCCAAGGGCGTAGGTTTCAACATTAGGAGAATGCATATTAAGAGGAATGTCTTGGGTGTCCATTCCCTTAAATTTTGAGTGTTAAAACATCTTTTCCTGCTCTCTAGTGAGTTTTTATGCAGCACTTTGTGGTATAAATTTCTTAATTTATGTAAAGGAAAACACAAAATTCAATCAGCATTTAAAATATCTGCTAGTCCTCTGCTACTTTCATGTTGTTATTGGGGGGGAGAAATGCATGTGTTATAAATATAAGGGGACGTGCTCCCTACATTCTCCACGAAACCTCCATCTATGCAGATATCAGCGTTTCAATAAGGATTTCTTACTGGAAAAGTTGTGGATCCAGTCGTTCGTTAAACAACTTTTCTCAGCTTCCACTGAGGCTGACAATGAGATAATGAGTTATCTGAGATTAGAATACCATTAGCGGGCCTCGCAGTCAAGCAGATATTTGATCTCAACAACATATGACTTCCAAAAGTTGTGCTGATACCTGAGACAGATTCCGCTTTACACTCTGTTTGAATTTTTTGATATGAAAACAGCGAGTGGAACTGTGAAAATGCAAGCATCAGATACTCTATCTCCCCCGGTTAGTGTCTCGCCTCTGTCTGTAACACGCTTGAACTGCTCTGTTCAGAACATACAGAGTGTCAATCATCGCCCCAAATCAGCCTTTAGATGAAGCAAAAAAAAAAAAAAAGGAAAAAGGAACAAAAATGATCCATACAACTGAACTTGAATTAATTAAATATACTGTATCATACTTCCTCTGAGAGATTGCATCTGTCCTCAGATGTGTAAAAAATAAAACATTCTCAGATATCTTTTTAAACCCTATTATTGTAAGATACCAGTAATTAAATTGACAGTGTTATTAATTGGGTTGAAGATAACTTGCATTGAGTCGAGGACATCTTAAACTCAATTAAAGATATCTCCAACTCAATTAAAGATATCCAAATGCCGTGTCCCGCAATATGCAATCAGGCTCTTTCTGGCGCAATAATATCAGTTCACTTGTGCCCCCTTTTACAAAGACTTAGTTGTACTTCTAAAGTTTTCTTTTTATCATTTAAAGCCTGATTTTTTTGAAATAGATGTCGTCCATGTCACACTTTGGTGATGTGTATAGTTTCTTTAATGTGGCATAATTATAGTATTTAATCCTTCCTTATCCAGTGTTTGAAAGAGAAATGGAGATTAGGCACTTCTGACATCAGGAAATGAAGCATTTAAAGGGGTAGCTCCAAATTTTTGTAACAAGGTAGTGTAAGGAAATGCATGGCAGCAGCTCGATACAAAGGCTGAACAAAGGCTGTCAGGCAGAGCTGAACAGCCGTAGATGGAGGCTGATGCTGTGGATAAAGATCTTAAAGGAAACTTCACCCCCACAGATGGCCATTTCAGTTACTCACTTTGTGTTGCATTGAATTTATGAAGAAAACTTTGTTTTTTTGCACGCCTCTATGGAGAACAAAGAATCCAAAAATGGAGAAAAGTCTTGATGAATTAAAGTGAAGGGGGTCCAGTTTAAATAACAGCAAAACTAAGTCAGCACAACTCTTGCAGTATAATCCAAGTCTTATGTTAACAGTCAAATACTCAATCCTTCCCAAACACATTCATTTTCAATTACTATTTAAAACTGAATTAAAAGTGACACTTATCTACGCTCTCTTCAAAGCCAAACTCCATTAACAAAAACATAAATTTTACCTCCCTGATGACAGGAGCTGCTGGTCTGCTGCTGCCTCAGTCAGTTGGTGTGTTTGTGTTATTGTGTGACTTTGGTGTGTTAAAGCGTTAGTTTGGATTCATGAAAGTCACATATTAAGACAAACTAATAACTAACAGATGGAGGCAGCGATACAGCAGCAGCTCCTGTGTTTAGGGAGGTAAAATTACTGTTTTTGTCAATGGAGTCCGGCTTTGAAGAGAACGTAGATGAGTCTCACTTAAAGTTCAGTTCCCCGTCTGAAAGGGCTGTCTGTTTGGGAAGTACTGAGCATACGACTGGATAAATGAGACTTGGATTATACTCCATGAGCTGTGTGAGAGTTTGCAAATAGATGTTTTGATATATTTTGCTGTCAGTTAGACCGTAACCCATTTTTAACATTATCAGTTTCCAGCTATTTCTTCTCTCTCTTGTTATTTCATTGTAATCTGAACAAATGTGGGTTTTGGACTCTTGATTGGACAAAACAAGCAATTTGATGTTATCACTTCTTTGGGCTTTCAGATCTCGTGATCAGCATTTTCTACAATCTTCCTTCATGTTCCAGATTGGCCATTTAACCACTGAAAAAATGAAACCTGGAACAGACTTGCAGAACTTGCAGATAATTAAACAACCCAGCAGGTTTATGTGATGCCCATCAATTTTAATCATTTTAACCTTGTTTCAAGGCAGTTGGGTCTCTTTGGCATCTTGAGTGGCTCCAAAAACTGCAATACCCATGAGCCTCAGCTGCTGTGGTTAAGAGGCCAGTCAGAAGCAGGAATCAGAGCTGCAGCGAACTAAAAATGTTTAGGTGGAAAAAAAACATGGTACCACAGTTGACAGATTCATCTAAAAGGGACCCTGAATTTTATGTATTTATTTATTTACTGAGTTCTTCACAAAGCCCCGACCCTCTGCTTGTATTTTCTTATTTTCTACTTATTTTGGGACATTCCTGGGTAGAGCATGCAGGTAAGGACAGGAATTTAAAAAATGGTAGCGACCAGATGCCAGACTGTCAGCAGCACACATCCAAGAGGAAGCTACAAAACATGGAATCACAGACACAGTGCCAGCAACGCAAACTTTGCAAGGCAAAATGCCGGCACTGGACTAATATATTTCAATAATTAATAACATTTCAAGTTCTGTGATTGGATGTTTCTTACCAAGATACACCTCAAGAGTCATCGTTAACACATTTTTTTCGATACACCTTTTACCTACCTAGAAACCAGATATATTTAACAGTTAGGGTGCCGACTAGCTCAGCTGGTAGAGCAAGTACCCTATGTACGAAGGCTGTGTCCTTGCTGCAGTGGTTGCAGGTTCACTTTCAACCCATGGCCCTCTCTTTGCACCCTTTACACTATATCGGTCCTATCAAATAAAGGCAAAGAGACACCCAGTTGATCATCTTTTGTACTAATGATTCAGGAAAGTTTTATGTCCATCCAAGCAGTAGAATTGCTCCAACTCAGAATTACTTAATATGTTCTGTGTAGAAAGTAATGGGACTTTTACTTGTTAAACCAGGGGCACATGAAATGGCTCCCCCCACTACACAACTCTATAAATCATATGAGCCCTACTTGCCTCTTTTTGTATCATGAAACTATTCGAAAACAAAATAATTTCAGAATCAGACATATTTGACCTGCTTGTGTTTAATGTTGTATCACTGTCCTGAATCCTCTGCACGCTGAAGGATGCTTCCTATCAGCTCGAGCTGTTTACTATGATCAGAGCGTCTGCCGGTGCTCCACACTTCACAGCTCTCCTTCATAACAATGTTCATGATTGGATCATTTGTTTTGGTCTTGACAGTGTTTCCAGTGAGTGGAATGTGACTGTTGAATGTTATCTGACCTTAAATATCTGTGGATTTACACTGAATCCGCTCTCTGCCTCCTCTCCTCTTCCTCTCCCCAGGGCGCTGTGCCAGCTGTGGAGAGAACGTGGTGGGTGAAGGCACCGGCTGCACCGCCATGGACCAGGTCTTCCATGTCGACTGCTTCGTCTGCATGACCTGCAGCACCAAGCTGCGTGGCAAGCCTTTCTACGCTGTGGAGAAGAAGGCGTACTGTGAGCCTTGCTATATTGTGAGTAACTTTTTTCCCTTCACATCCACCTGCCTCACCACATAGTTTTGTCTCACTCTGGTTGTTGATGTGTCCATGTTTCAAGTGTGCACATTATGATATCAGGGGAGGGCACCTTGGTAGACCTGTGCCTGGAATGTTCATATATATTTTGACTTCAAGCAACCACATTTCATTTCATCAAAGCTCAGCGAGCTGCCACCTCTCACCACACACATCTTCACATTTCCTCTTTTTCTTTGTCTTTGTTTTGTTCTTGGTCACTCAGTGAAACTTTCATGGTGTCTTCCCCTTAAAGTGATTCCCTGCAGCTACACAACTTTAAATGACAGAAACTGTTGACGTAGGTAGACACAAGGTCAGTCTCATCAAGTGTTTACTGTCTATTGTTTGATATTGACATTATTTTGAATGTGATAGCAGTCTAGTAATCACTATTAGCTCAGTAACAGTAGGTGCTGGTCAGCTAGCTAACACACCACTGACACAATTAGTAATTAATATGAAAGCTACTAGGGCTGACCCAAAAAATTCGAAGTTTCAAAGCTTCGTTCAATGGCATGGGATTCGATCCCATTTTTTGGGGGGACCTTGAACGCAACACCATCTCCTACGAGGAAGTAGAAAGCCCGGCGTGCAATGAATGGAGACCTATTATCCTGCTTGAACACAGATGACTAAATTCTTTCAACAATGTGACTCAAAATAATGAGAAAATAGATTTTATTGATGTAAAATAATATGCTGATGGTGACATTTTCCACCGGTCCGCTGCGCTCTAAGTCTCGCATCTGTCTGCTTGCGCTGCAGTGCGCTGAGGGTTTTAATTTTTAGTGTTAAATCAAAACTTAAACACTATTTATCAGCAACCAGAAGTGTTTTTTGTTTGTGAATATTTTTATCTTAATTCTAGGGTTGCAAGAAACTACCTTTTCGCCATAGTTTGTAAGTTATTAACTTTTTTGGACTCCGGTCGTCGAAGGCTTCGATTTAAAATTGATCTGAGCCCCGAAGCTTCGATTTTCAAAAATGAAGTAGAAGGTCAGCCCTAAAAGCTACATTCATCAATAAATTAACTCATAATCACAAGCCACCAGACTATTATCACCTGACACTGAAGTTCCTCTCAGCTCTGTCAAACTTTGTTTTTGCATCTTTCAGCTTAAAGTTTTAGTTTCACTGACCTGAACTTGACTGTTTTGTTTCACCCTCAATACTCTCACCAACCTTGTTCCTGTTAGTAGCTGCTCTGTGCTCACTGCCCAACACAAAATGTCAGACACACAAATGCTGTGTCTTAATTTGGATACTTCCTTTAGTAAACTTTCAGTGTAGTAGTAAAGTAGTAAAGTGTGTACACGATGCACTTTTGTAGTGGGTGAACTTTGACAGGGTAGTGTTGTCTCAAATCGAACACGGCTGCTGTCCATTTAATGGAAATTATGATCTTCTTCTTCTTCTTCTTCTTCTTCTGTTTTGTCTCCTTTTTCTTCCTCTTCTTCTTCTTCCTCTTCTGAGATTTTTTTTTTTGCCCTTATTGATAGGACAGCTATAGATAGACAGGAAAGGCAGGAGAGACGATGGGGGAATGACACGCAGCAAAGGGCTGCAGGCCAGAAACAAACCAAGGTCAATGCAAAGGACTCAGCCTACATGCGGTGCACACTCTACCAGGTGACCTAGAGGTCGCCCCTGCTTTTGATTTTTAAGGGCAAATCGCAACCGGGTGTAGCCTTACCGCAAACATTTTACCTTGACTGACGCCCACCAAAATGTCTGCAGGGCTGTTTGCTTGTTCACTGGAGCAATGGCAAGCACTGCAGCAGCATCCACCACAATTTTCACAAGTTTGATGGTCTCTCCTCTTCCGCTACATAGCCAAGATGGCGACCCCTGAGGGTGAAAAGTGTCCAGCGTTTCACACTAAACATTTTGACTGTTATTAGTTCACCATTCGGGTACTCTTTGTGCACTACATTTGGCCATGCTTCTCAGTGTTGATGTGCTTATGTGCTCATAAAAGCAAGTGTAAGTACAGAAGTTAGCATCTAGCAGGTGAACAACCTGAAGAATTTAGAAGCCAAAGACTCAAGTATTTTTGTCTGGAAGTTATGAGCAAATATCAGACTTGAAAACACCTCAAAGTTAGTATGAATGCATTCTCGGAACCCATCGGCTATATTTGGCGTCTGACTTCCGGCAGACGGCGATACAGCCTCTGGGGGCAGACCCCCAATTTTTTGGCATTCCGGTTTGATTTGGGCGGAGGAGGCGAGTTTCCATTTCCGACTTCCTTTTATATATAAGTAAATATCCTGAACCATTGCGATGGATTCAGAGTTTGCAGCAGTGATGCCAATTATGTTCCGCCTCGTTAGTTCACCGCACGGACCGTTTAACCTGGCAACAACTGCAGCCGGCTCAACCGTGATTGGTAGTTTATGGTTGTAGACTACAAACAGCCTACAACCGGAAACCAGGGCTCTTCTGCTCTTCTTCCGGAGGCAAGATCTCCGGGGTTTGCCTACAGACTCTACATTCACTGAATGTAGAGTCTGTATATAGAGACTAGTAAGAATGTTGCTTTGTGTCTGCTGGATGTGGCAATATTTTGTTAGCACGTAGTCATATCAAAGTTCAAAGGTGAAAATGTGTGCAGTGTTTACAGCTTGTTGTACTGCCCCCAAGTGGCCAAAAACAATGAATGCAGGTTCAAGACACTTCTTGGCTGCTGTTGACAGTGACCTAAGAGCCAAATGTTAATGAAAGCTATGAAATGACCTAGCATTGCTTGATTCATCTAGCGGGAAGGTTGCTGGGCTGAAACTTTTCTCATGTGCCATGAGTGTAGGAGAACTATGGTGGCTGACATGAAAACGCAAATTACCCTATCTAGAGCTAGTGTTTAGTTCATAAATGGTAATCGACCTGGACTTGTATAGCACCTTTCTAATCTTCTGACCAGTCAAAGCACTTTTTACACCACAAGTCACAATTCACCCATTCGCACACAGTTATTCATTTATACACTGGTTGCTGAGGCTACTGCACAATGTGCCACCTGCTACTCAGTTTTTAACACACTCATCGATAGCAATTTGGGATTCAGTGTCTTGCTCAAGGATACTTCAACATGTGGACCGGAGGAGCCAGAGATCAAACCGCTGATCTTCCAATTAGTTGACAACCCGCTGTAGCTCTGAGCCAGTAGCCATCCTGGCCTACTGCAGAACAATAATGCGATCTCCATAAACAAGGATGTTCCTCCTACAGTACGTAGCTTTAAACTGTTCATTCTGAGGTTACAAAATAATTCCAGGTGATTACAAACTAATGAAAACACATTTATGAATACTATATTCCACTTCTGCCAATAGATGACCCTTAATACTACACCCTGGACCACTACTTCACTTTTTTATCCCAGCACAACCTGATAGATTATTCATTAGTTCTAATAATGATGTCACAGATGCTTCCATTGTGTTTTTATAATAGAGGATTTTCAGATATCTCTTCCTTGGTGAATTAGATGATGATTATATTGTTCTCACTCGCACATCACTCAGTGAGCTGATGCATAACTATCTGGAGTTACAGCTGATAAGCAGTCAGATATGGTTTTAATGCACTTGAGGTATTAAATGAGTGTTAAAATCATGTTAGATGTAACATGGTGTTAATTTTCTGTGTGGATTACAGAAAACAGAAAATTTTGTTTCCTCTGTTTCCTCTTTTTTTACTTTTCTAAATCAGTCTTGTGATATCAAAAGTATGTGATGAAATGACAGGCATTTCATGACAATATCCCAGAAGGTGTTTTCACTTATTTTTAATTTTAGGGTGTTTTTATTCCTTTTTACAAAACTGCGACCTGTTTTCCTGTTGCTGTGTTGAGCAACACTGATAAAAGTATTTCCTTGCACAATATTGTCAGGAAAGATGCATCACTTTTCAAAACCACAAGGATATTGTTTTGCAGAAGTGTCTCCCTCATTCAGTTTCTTTAGAATATGGTTCAGTGTCGGACCATTGGCGGGATATGACAGGGTCGTAGTTTTTAATTGTCAGCAATATCACGGGTAAGTTTGAAGGTCATTCCTGGAAGCTGAGATGGGAAGTAGCTGAGTGATGCAATCAGCCTTTACAATGGAAATTTTGGCTTATAGCTTTTAACTTTCAGTGTTGTTTTATTAAAAAATATCTGACTAGATTATTGGATTCAGTTTGTACAAGTTTTGAAACTTGAATGAGTGTCTACAGATACAAATTAAGCCAGTGAGGAAAATACAATCATGAAATTGGAAATAGACATATTTCAGTCAACAGTCTACGTATCTAAGAATCTTCCTGGTCAACAGATAGTCATCATTTAGGGCCATTAGTCAACTAGTCACCCGCATGTTTACGACATTATAATTTAAACTGTACTAATGAACCTTCATTAATATAGGCCTATATTTTGTCTACAAGTGCACGTCACACACTGAGCGAGCCGCCTGTTAATGACGCTGTGGGCTAATGGGCATGTAGCTACTTCCATGTTTCAGATGATACGTCATGTTTGTAGTCGACCAATGAAGATGAGTTTACATATCACCTTGGGTTCGTCCTTCACCTTCTCAAAATGATCCCACACTTTGGATTTCCTGCCCGACATGTTATTAACTAGCCTGTGGAATAACCGCAGGTACCAGCCCTGGAAATTAACCTGACTCCTGTCTGACTGCTGAGCCTGGACACTTCCTGTGTTTGTCCTTTCAAATTAAATTCCCACATGGACCAGTCATATAGGTATTGATTTATTTTGACAAGTTGCAGCTCGTAATAGAGTTTCACTTTTTTTTCTGTGACTAGTGACCTTTCTGGTCTTCTAATGTTTGGTCAACTATTGGGGGGCAGCCCCGGAGAGCAGAAGTTCTTTAGTATGTATTAAGAAAAGCGAACCTGGTTGGTAGCATGTCATTTTATGTTTTTATAAAATGAAAAAAACTGACTGG